AACTACATTTTTATCAAGACTCGTTGCTCCGATCGACTTTCCACACGAGTACTTTTATTCATAAAATTGTCCAAGTAACCTTAATTTGTTGAAAAATATTGAAAAATATCTGTCATTTCAAAGTTTTGGGGTGTGGACCATCGGGGGTAGTCCGTTCCTGACTTTGTAGCAAAACAACTGACTCCTGCATGAAAGCTCATCGAAGGAATTCATTTGTTTAGTCAATTACCAAAATTTGGATGATTTTGAATATTCACTTGAAAAGTTATCAAAGAAAAACATTTTTCATTTTGTAACTTCGAGGGCCCGTAACTTGGTAACGAAGGATTTTAGGAAAAAAAGTTATATGAAGTACTGGTGATATTTTGACCCCATCTATACATTCCCGAGAGGAAAAGAGGGAGTCCAGGGCCCATCTATACATTCCCGAGAGGAAAAGAGGAAGTCCAGGGACACCCTGTATATACGTAGCCCACGTATACGATGCACACTCATTGTTACAATAAATCCCGGTGAGAGAAGATCTCAGTCTAGCAAGTATCCACAATTGCCAGCAGAATACTTATGAGAGAAAAAATAGAAATAAGTAATTGATTGATAAATCACATGAACTATTGATTTTTGAATGGAGTTAGTCCACTGACTGGACACCCCTAAAAAATAGAAAAAAGTATAGAAATAAGGAGATTATAATATCCCAGACGTGGGTATAGGACAATAAAAACAACCCACTAGAGGATGTTAGACAAGTTTATTATTAATGTGAAAACATGCTTAACATTCTTGAGCCCCATTCCGCTAGGTTTTATAGATCGTAAAGCTACCAATCATAAAGATGTCAGAATGCTCTTCTGACAAAATACTTGTCTCATCGTCTTTCATTGAGGCTAAAACAAGTACAATTGTTAGCATATCAATCTGAATTACTTTGGAAATGTTTTTTTAATGTCATGATATTTTAAAAAAAATTTGTATGATTCCATTTAAAAAATGTTTTCACTATCTAAATCTTTTCGAACCTCGTATTTTTAATGTAGGGATCGATGGTTACATGTTTTTGCACAGCCAACTTATGTGCTGATACGCAATTTTCTTCACGCTATGAAATATAAAGTAAAAAAATTAATTAAACGAAAACTATGTAGTTGTATAGAGAATGGAAGTTATCGATATTTTTTATGCTGATGAATAAGATCTAGAATTCAATGTATGTAATTTGTAATAAACACGTCTGTTTGGACAAAAAATCTACAATGTATGAACATCTTCAACAATCAAAACAAATCAAATAAAAACCAGAAATATATACCCCGAAACGACCAACTCGATTTAAGTAGACCTCCAATAAGTTTAAAACCCCTATAATCTTCAGTGTTGAATTTTAAAGTTGGCACTCTGGTTCGTTTAACTACTTGTCCTATCTTACCTAAAAACTCCCGATATAACCGTGCTAGGAATCACACGTTAAAAGGTGAGAACTCGTTTCTCAACTTCTGAGAGTTGTCGTTCGTATGGGGGCGACAATTGATTAACGGATTTTTTTTAAACAGATACGGATTTTTCCAAATTTCACATTTTAGTTTCATACCTTATAATGGGGTTAAACCCGAAACCGGTCAAATAAATAAAATAGACTAGGTAATTAGACACGAGAATTTTTATTAATTTCATTAAACTGTTATAAAATTAATGTATTTCATTTGAATAACGAAAATCGATACTTTCAGTATATCTAACCTAAAGTGCTCCGAAACCTACTTCAGCTGTATTGCTAAATATTCATGATTCTTCTATGTTTTACTTTTTGCAACATCAGTTTCAAAAGAGCCATTCTATGTATAACCATGTATTTTCTGATTGGAAGATATTTCAATGATTCTAATAATATATGATTCTCAATTGTGTCAAAGCTATTTTCCGGGTTTATTGGCCGTGGTCATTATGCCTGAAGTTTCGTCTACTACTGCGGTAGACAGTATCAAAAGCGATGAGGTAACGGTTGAAGTGCTCAAGTTGTACCCGTAGAATTTCTGCGTTAAGAGGACATCTTAAGTACTTCAACATCTTAAGCACTTCAACTTAAGCACGTCTATCGCAGTAGTAGACGAAACGTCAGACATAAAAACCTGTAGACCACGGCCAATAAACCTGGAAAATAGCTCTGAACCAGTTACTTTCGGCCGTGAAACTTTACTTCTTTGATCATAATTCTCAACTGTTTTAGGTCACTAATATTTTTTACTTCCAGAAAATGTCAATGGGAAAGGTGACTATCTGAAATGAAAAAGAGCTTCAAATAATACAAAAATCTTCTAGTGAAATTCATGAGTTTTCAAATCCACTGCAATACAAAGTGTGAATATCTAGAATGAAAATACTCTGTGATTTTTATAACTCTCAGAATACTTTTTGTAGATATTTCAGATATTACTCAATAAGAAATGAAATTTCCCATATCTCAAAAAATATACCGTCAAAGTTCCAGTTTTTGCATAGACAAAACAATCATAATTTCCGACCCTGAAAATCCTCACTTATCAATTTTGAATCAAATCGGACCATAATTGCATATCTTGTTCGCCATTGTGGAGCCGCCATTTTGTTTTTTCCCTTAGAAAAATTCCATAATGCATTGTCACCGAATTTATGTCAAATTAGCTTGCAAATGAAGTATTATAATACGCAATACGGAACAGTTTTTTCCCTCAGGAGGGTGCCAAAATAGAAAGTTAGGTTAGCGCAAATTGATGTGTCACTCTTATACTTTCCCTATTCAAATTTTTAGAGAGATAGTGACGGAGGGGTGAAGGGAGAAGTATAAGTATGAGATGTCCTTGGATTACAAATCAACGTGTTTTTACTTTTTTTTTTTCAGAAAACATGTGTTTTGATCGATATGTTTCGTTTTCGGTGCCCCACCCTGTATAACAAATTCAAGTAGGATATTTTGGTATTGTTATTGAAACGACCATAAACATTCATAAGAAAGATTCCAGCACTTAGATTTCGTCTAATAATTTCCGAAGAAAAACGTTTACGTTTTGACCAAACTTAGTGCAAATAAAAATCGATGTAGATATGAAACTCATGCACGGTTTATGTTACACTATTTACACCCTAATATTTTGTTTGCAATGACTTTGTAAAATTCGATTAAATAAATGATGTGTATATCAAAAAATACGCCATACCAATGTTAAAGTGTTATAACTCGGCAAAGATTAGGAATACTTTGATGGTGCTTGAATTAATTTTGTATTTGAGAAAAAACCGTTTAGTAGGTAGGTCTACAGTTTTCAACTAAGAAGTTTGATAGATTTGAGATATGTATAATCTAGTAATACAACTACGAACATTTCTCCTCTTTTCTTTACCAATGACAAACATTTTTTTGAACACAAAGAATATTTCGCTCTTAAGTTTTGCGAGTCCAACCTTCTGAAAATAATTGAAGTATAACTATAAAAGAATGGGGAATGTTCCTTCTGACGAAAATCAAATAGTTCTCATAAAACAAGGCATTTCAAACTTATCATTGCAAACTTTTTCTTTAAAAAATTATTTATACTTCTACATTTGCTTCAACATTAGTGACACCTAGAGGCAAATTTCCTGGTTTAAGGTTTGCATAATCACTTGTTCATATATAGAGGTATTTGTTCTATATTAAAGACGGAACAAACAACTAACACAGGAGTCATTTAAATACCAATAAATGCATCAATATGCAAAAAAAATAAACTTACGTATGACTGGCAAGATCACTGGACTGTCTATCAGAGGAAGAGCTCAGCTTCCGCCTATTCCTGCTCCAGGCCTGCCACTGCTTCCTCAATCTTCTTTCAGAGTTTTTGGTGCTGAGATGTTTCCTGAGAAACTTCTGCCACTGAGTTAAACCGTCCCCTTCCTCACATTCCGAACAACTACTAGTGGAGCCGACACTGCTTTTCCTACTATTCAATGTACTATCACACCACGAGGACTTTCTACTTTCCGGAGTAGAGGGCGTCGTAACGCTAGATTTTCTCGATTCGAATCCAGAAGAAGACGACTTCCGTTCGGTTAAACTACTCTTTCGACTATCAGTCGGCGAGGATATCGCGATTTCAACCGTGGAGTGTCTTCTAGCAGGGACGTTGTCGAAGGTGATCAAATTGTTTTGCTGCTTCAGCCACCGGAGAACGTGTTCGTTTCTGTCTTCCTCCAAAGAGTCCAAGTGAAAATCATTCAGATTCTCATATATTTTCTCCTCTCGAGGTACGTAGCCCATTTTCCTTCTTCGCGGAGTAGCCTCCTCGTGCGCCGGATTCGGACTAGTTCGGTCGAATTCGGCGGTGCTAATTTTTCTCGATTTCGATACGACTTCCTCGTCGGAAATCTTCTCGATGGCGCTGACGATATCGTCGTCTAGCGCATCTCTGCTATACTTGCAGTACTTTTTGAGCAGCCTCAGAACGATCTCGTCATTTTCCTTAGACAATCTATCAGTCTTCTTTTGATCAGTCTCGGACTTAAATAAATTATTAATAAATAAATTGCTTCTATCTATGGACCTCAATTCTGGCATCGAAGGCCTTCGTGGTTGTTCTACGATTTTGTCCTCTGGAATTTGGCCGAGACTGACTTTTCGCTCGGCCGCACCATCAGTCGTTTTTATCACATTTTCACTGCCTATAATTAGGTTCCTAACATCTAGATTTTGGAGCATGAGTTCCTTGTGTTTATCAGTGAGCTCTGCGAAACCGTCATCTTGCAGGATCAAATCTTTATTGGCTACTCTGCGAAGGAACTCCGATATGGCCGCCCAGTGGGCTTGAGTCAATACTCCATGGAGTCTGATCGATGATAACTGGAGAGGAGTCCACTTATTATCCTTGTAGCACCAAACTACACCCCCGCTTAAGTTAACCATACTTGAAATAAGTCATTAAAGATGTTTTCCGATGACAAGTGGTAAAAACGTTTCTTGAGAAGCTACAAAGAAAACGAGTAGATATTATAACTGTTATAACTCTCGTTCGTCAATGCCTTGGTTATGTATACACAAATATTGGTAAGTCTGCGAAGCATATTTTCCGAAAGAAAAAAGAATGTTTGTAATCACTACAAGATTATCAATTAACAGCGAAGAATCAGTAAGTAACGCTTGATTTGTCATCAAAAATAAATACTTGGGTTCTATTCGAATAATCATTTTGGCCTCTATTCCGAAACTGAACCGATTCCTTGTTCTGGTTTCTCGACGTTGTGCAATGTTTTATGTATTTAACGTCGGCTTGTTGGATCTCGCGGTAAATTACTTTTGTTTTTATAGGACCGATTTCTAGGTTAAATTTGCAAGTCAATGACACCAATCTGCTTTCTTTCGTCAAACTTCCATTTTACAGCCAGTTGAGCTTCAACGCACTTTTTTACGAACGTAGATTATCGGTTTACATTCAAAGAAATTTTCGGAAATAGGTGCGTGAATGATGAAAATAGTGGGCATGGATGGCTTATAAAAATACTAATAAAATACAAATGCGTTTTTCACTTCTACTTTCTATTTAAAAACTATAATCATTAACAAAGACCAGCGTATACACAGCAGTACTATACGCTATATACCAATCTTTACTATTCTGTGAATTTGCCAGAAACGAAACTCATTTCCTAATTTGTACCGACTTGTTGAGTTCCATAAGGTCGTTACAAAATGAATTCACTCTTGACCCCCTTGTAAGGATTATTCTTGCCAGAATTCATATTATGAAGAAGAGCGATAAAACTGTCAGTTTTAAAACTGTCATTGTGGCATAAAGAACAACACGGATGTGGATAAGGCAGCTGGAATGGTTGCTAACTCCAACGAATATGAAGATGTACCATTCCACCTAGAAGATCTGAAGAATAATTATTTAACCAAAGAAGAATCTGACTGGCAGACTCTTTGAAATGAAACTGACGCGAAACTGAAATGCTCAAAACCAAGTGTGGATAAACGTATCTCACCATTGAAATTGACCAGAAAACGAGTTGTTCTCACACGTTTGCGAATCGACCATACAAAAATGACACATCTTTACTTGCTCCTAGGAGAACAACAATCTCTGTGTATTACATGCCAAATAGTACTAACAGTACAACACATTTGAGGAAACCAGGAGACAACATAACATAGCTGGGGCAGTGAAAAAATTCTATGTGGTGATGGTCGAACGTTGAGCAACCTGGTGGCATTTTTGAAAGCCTCAGATATAATAGATGAAATTTGAAGAATAAATAACAAGTAGGCGGCTAATAACCTAGCTGTTGTTGCCGCAAAAAAATATATATGGTACTGGGTATGAGAGAGATTCATTTAGAATATGTTATTAAAAAAACGCGGATCGTAACCAGCACAATTTTGTTTGGAGGAACTTTTGGTTCAAGGCATTAATAATCCAGTACAAGTCAATGTTGTAAAACCACAGGGGTATCAGTTTTCTCGAAAAAATTTAAATGTGGTATAATACTCTAATATAATGTTAATGCGCACGATTTATCAGGTTGCTTCCATTATTTTAGTGAATGTCACATTGAATATAAGCCGTCGCTGA